CTAGTATTATATAAGTCAAATGATTCGAATAAGGATGGCAATGACACTATAATAGACCGTTTTTAAACTATTTTTTAACAAATAAATTAATATTTTAATGAATATTAATAATGTCAATTATCAACTTTCCGTCAAGGCTGTCTTCTGTAATTTAAAAACTTGTTTAATCAACAAAATGTATTTTAAAGAAGCTACTAACACAGATTTTCAATAGAGGATCTCGGAATTTGCGTATAGGTGGATCATTTATTAACTGCGATATTTTATTGATTGTTGAATTCCTCCAATAACAGTATCTACTAAAAACTAAAGTTACAGCATATATACGTCCCACTGCTGGGCACAGGCCTCCTTTCATTTCTGAGAGGGTTTTAGGGTAAGAAAGTGTGCGCCGCGCTGCCCCAATGCGTGTTGGCGAACTTCACATGTCTTCGAAATATTTTTTTTCTTATTCCTCACACATGCAGGTTTCCTCACGATGTTTTCCTTCATCACAGAGCACGTGGTAAATCACTTAAAATTGCAATTAACAATTTCATTGGTGCCGGCGGGGATCGAACCCGGGTTACTCGCGTTCTGTTGTATTTAGAGCGAGCGTTAATCATCTGAGCTACCTCATCGGCTCTATCTACTAAAATGTACACTTTTTGGTGCGTATGACGCTAATAACCTAGTCCTATTTGGATATTTGGTGCTTGTGGTCTTTATCAAGTTAATATTTCCTTGTTGTTTAGTTGATATATTATACAAATGAGGCATGGCCTAGCACTAGTCAGCATATCCCATAAATTTTGAACAGAGTTTGGCATAAGAAGTTTGAGCCAACGCCGTGAACGGCACTGAATAGCACAATAATTGTAACATAATAGCCATTTAGTTGCAATACTTCGATACATACATATATGCGAGATACCACTCATCATGAGATCTCCAAAACTGTACGCCCGATTACTTTGAAATTTGGTACATACTCCTTTCTTGACCTAGACACCTACAAAGAAAGGATTTTGGAATTTAACCCTTTGAGGGGCTGAAATACGGTGTTGCAGTAGTAATTACATATATATACCACTGACATACTCAAAATTCAATCTCTGACGGGGTGAAATAGGGTGTTACAGCTGTATATATAAAAGAGGATATCCTGAGTAACTGACTAATCTATCAACGCACAGTATCACGGTATAATCTGTAATTTAAACAGTAGCTGCCTTTTATGACATAGGTATCCACTAAGCAGGGCTTTTTCAGGGAGAAAGCCCTGCTTAGTTCTCCCATAAATCCAAGGTTCTACAAGCGGTACGTAGACGACACTTTCACAATTCTACCTTTAGACTTTATCTAAAGGTAGAATTGTGAAAGTGTGTGTGTGTGTGTTACTTTATAACTGCATTTTTAGACCATCTTAACTCTATAAATTCTAAAATTCAGTTCACAATGGAGTTAGAGGCAAACAATTCCTTAGCTTTTCTAGATGTGTTAGTAATTCGGAATCCTGATAACACCTTGAGCCATACTGTGTATAGAAAAAAGACCCATACAGATAGATATTTAAACGGTGATTCTCACCACCATCCTTCACAGTTAGCAACCGTGGGTAAATCTTTGTTTCAGAGAGCACGAGGGATCTGTGACAGTAAACACCTGGCTGCAGAGCTCCACCATGTCAAGCAAGTTTTGCATGACAACAAGCTTCGAGTCCCGCGCCTACGTCACAGTGAACGAGTGAAGCCGGCCACAGTCGAGCGTGTACCTGCTGTACTGCCATATGTTAGAGGAGTCACTGACAAGATTGGCTACATCTTGAAGCGCGCTTCCATCAAAACATACTTCAAGCCGCTGAAGAAGATTGGTCAGTTTTTACCATCGGTCAAGTGTAATGTCCCTCTGCAAGATGCAGGAGTGTACAAGCTTGATTGTGAATGTGGTCTCTCCTACATAGGACAAACTAAAAGATCAATAAAAACCCGCGTTAAAGAACATATAGCTGATGTGAAGAATCGACGCTCCGGGAAGTCTGCAGTCTGTGAACACGTACAGGATCGCCCCCGTCACTACATCAGATTAGATAGACCGCAGATCCTCGCTAAAGAACACCGATTCCTTCCAAGGATGATTCGCGAGGCTATTGAAATCAAAAAACATCCTAATTTCAATAGAGAAGATGGCTGGGTGCTACCATCTGCTTGGGATCCTATAATAAATAAAATTAAATCCCAACCCAAGCATACAACTGCAAGACTTCAAGATACCATAAGTTCATACTGCATAGATCGGAACAAAAGTTAAATTTTAATCTATGGTAACCGCGGTTAACTATGACATATGGACGTTGAACATCTCAGTCCTGCCCGTGACCATGAGTGCTGTAAAGCGTTCGAAACGTCGGGTATTTAAAAAGTTAAAATATACGCGATAAATTCCGTAAAAACTAGTATTATTTCAATGTGTAGTGTTCGCGTAAATATAAGAAATTCATTATGTAAACTCTGAGTAGATTTTAAAGTAAAAAAGGGTTTGAGCATGGCGTATATGTAGAGGGAGGAACTTACACAAGTTAACAGCTGTGACAAAAAATGATTAATTGAAAAATGAGGTTGAATGTCCCGGAGTACGAAAAAAAAGATTGTTAGATCGGTTTGTACTATTTAGGCATTAGTCTAATTTAAAATCTGCGAATATTATCATTCCAAAATATAGGAAAGTTTCCATGTTATAGCTTGAGCTCTCCGTATTATAATATCTCATAATAAGCATAGATCATGACTGTATGTATGTACAATTCAGTCGCGGGGCAAAACGCTAGTAAGTGTCTAATAAATATAATTGAATATATCCGGTTCAAATACATAAGCATTTTTTCAGTTTAAATAAGGTTGGTAATAGAATAAATTAAAAATGTGTTGACAAGTCCATAATTTTACGAAACTCGTTACTACGAATTTATATTAATGAAGATTAACGTTAATAAAAAAAAAATCTACTATACTACAGTTATCGCAGAAAAATCTGAACTATGATTTTCGCAATATTTCTGTATATTGTATTGTTGTATAGTCTTTTTAAAGAAAGTTACAAAGCAAAAGAATGAAAGTAAAATAAAAATGAGACAAAATATACCCGGTCACAATGGTTATATCGATTAGATGCACATATTTTTTGGCTTTCTTAATATTTTTAAGTGTTATATTTATCTAAGTGTACAGATTCGAGTGTTTTTAGAATAAAGGTCACAAACGAGCACACAGTCCACCTGATAGTAAGTGGATGCTGTGGCCCATATATATCTACATTTATCCTGGATTAAGAATCTAACCGCAGATGCGTTGTCACCCCTGAGGACTACGATGGAATGTTTCGTTTCCAGTAAAAAAGAGTCTCCGGATCTCTACACTCACCATACGAAACACATCAGTATTAAGCTGCTATTTTACACTGGTATTCTGTGAGAGCGTGGTCTTTCCCCAGTCGAGCCAACCCATTCGTGCTACAACCATAATATAGCTGCAGCGTGGCTCTACCACGTACCTACAATATCTCTCGTACAAGTGTCTGCTAATATTAAAGTAAGCTATGTACTCGCCAATAATGTTAATATTGTATCCTTTCCAGATTGAATCACATAATATACAAATAATTTTCCTAGTTGTGGTTCAAAAGGCTGCCGTAAATTCCTTAAGGCAGCTTAAACGAGCTGTGAAGAACACTCGGGAAGTTGTATTAGGGTCACAGATTAACCGAATTCAATAACTCAATCATTCATTGAAATCCGTACAACATGCGACTAGACTGATGTAATACAAAAAATGCGTCCAATGACGCGTTTAAGTATATGTTACATAATTTAGCTTTGTTAGATGTATTATTTACTAATAATCATACCGACAATCTAAACATGTTTAATTTACGGTAATACTGCAAGCATGTGTATCTAATATATAATATGTATATCTAGTATATAAAAAATTATATTTGTTTGTTCGTATTTTATGCGATGCCATACCGTTCATCAGATTGCAGTAAAACTTTGTCAAAATATTGCTTGCACTTCCGTGAAGGTTATAGGCATAGTTGGACCCGGTAGGTGGTGCTGTTGTAGAATTCAGATATCACCCGTGCGAAGCCGGGGCAGATCGCTAGTTATTTATAAAAATAAAGGTGATAAAAACACACATTCCACTTTATAATACATGGACCTGTGACGCACACGTAGTTTAAGAATCAAAAGGCAGAATTATTGTCACCTCTGAGGGCTAAGCTGGTGTTTCTCTTTACGGGTCAAAAGACTCCGATCCTCAATACACAACATACAAAACACAGCAGATTATGGTGCTAATTTTCTATTTTGTTTTCTGCGAGATTTTGCTAAGAAATTAAAAAATTCCATTGCTAATAAACGTTTAGAAAAACATTTCTTAGGATTGGAATTTGGTTACGAAGTGAAATGTGCATTTTCGTCTCCAACAGTCAATAAATATCTCAATGCTGGATGCTCTCTTCCACATCCTTCTGGGATTTCCAGTAATCGTCACGCTTGGTTGACGGATCTGTAGAGATCGCAAACAGACGTCTTCGCTAAGACTGTTCGCGAATTTCGTCGATCGTTGTTTAAAAAACATATTATTTTATATTTTATATAATGAATGTCCGATGGATGGCCAATGAAGACCACGAGCACCTGTAGCTGCTAGCTCACTCCAAACAAAGAATGATGCAAATGTGTTGTCACCGGGGACATCTTTAGCGACTGCTCCTCGTTGCCAGGCTGTGTATTTACATTACACATTAGCTTGATTGAAGAATTGATTACGCCATCAATGTCGGTTGCTAGTGTATTTCCTAACGTCTATATCGACTCTTTCGACACTTAAGGGTTGAAGTGACACACGGTAGATCATAAAAAATGTTATAATTGATAATCATATATTTATAATTTTTACAACTTTAATATAAAATATTCTGCAGTAATTTTACCGTGTCTAGGAATTCTGATCTCTTACCTTTCAAAGAACATGAGCGCTCCTGAAGCATTGCCCGCAAACGCAACTCTTCCTTCAGCGAGAAGCACCAGCTTATCGAACAGCGCCATCAATTCGGAGGAAGGTTGGTGTATAGTGCAAATAACTGTCTTGCCCTGGACCGCACTAGCTCGGAGGAGAGATACCAGTTTCTGTGCCGATGAGGAGTCAAGACCAGTAGTTGGCTCATCGCAAAACAGTAAACCAGGATCTGTCAACAACTAGACAAACAAGAGTAAGTAAATAAAACCAATCTGTATAAGATTTCGTTTATTTGGTTTATACTAAATCCTGATAAACATGATAAAATTTGTTAATATTAGTTTCATTAAAACCGGTAATTGTAAACAACCCCATTTTCAAACTTTTATACGTATTTTTTAAATGGAGTGTGGACGACGACCTTTATGAGATGCAGGAAGTGGAGTGGTGCGGGTGGCTCAGGACTGTGCAATGGGGCATTTCTTGGGGAGGCCTTTTGTTATGCAGTGGACATCTCATGGGCTGTAATGATGATGATATTTTGAGAGGGCCTTTAAACATGTAAATTTATACACAGTGTCGTTTGTTGATATAACTAAGTGGTCTGAAAAGTTTCCAACCTCAACGTGAAAATGGCAACACTCGTCAATAAAAGCTCGTGAATGTAGTTGTGCATCATTTGACAGCTATGCACCATAATTTCATCCAGTTTGGTCGCGTAGTTCTTATTTGACAGTCGTTTGAGTGAGTCGATGTAAGTGTTTTTGTGAAAATGGAAAAAATTGAGTATCGAGCTGTCATTAAATTTCTGTTTACGCAACTTGGACTCTGCACCATCATTTACCACAGTGAAATTTCGGTCACCTGAATTTAAGGCCACGGCCTTGAGAGCTTGGGAGACTATGAACGTTCGGGAAGTCCATAAACCGCAACTACTGATGATAACATCGCTAAAGTTCACCAAATGGTGCTAGACGACCGCGCGTTTGGTGGCGCGTTTGCTCACGTTAGACAAAAACGTGTTTGAATGAACATTTCCAATGCTCTGTTGGCGCAGTTTAGGTGCAATAAATCCGAATTTTGGCGCTGTTTAATTACTGTAAATGAAACTTGGATACACCATTATATACCACAATATATAGTCAAAACAGTGTAAAGGGGGAACCGGCTCCAAGAAAAGCAAAAACTGTTTTTTCGTCTGGGAAAGTGATGGCGATAGTTTCTTGGGATAGTCATGGAGTTATCTTTATTGATTACACATTATTACTTGACAAACTGAAGGCAGTATTTGCTGAAAAATGGCCACATTTGCAGAAAAAGAAAGCCCTGTTTCACTATGACAACGCGCCGTCTCACACTTGAGCGGTTGCCATGGTGGAAACCCACGAATTACGGTTTGGACTGCTTGACCATCCGCCTTACTCACCAGATCTAGCCCCAAGTAACTTCTTTTTGCTCCCTCATCTAAAAATTGCGCTCGAAAGAAGGAGATTTTCACCAAATGAGGAGGCTATCACCTTCGTGAACAATTATTTTACAGAGAAAAACGACGAGTACTATTTGCACGGGTTAGAGCGATGGCAGCATCGCTGGGAGTGTGTGTGTGTGTTACAAGGGGACTATGTAGAAAAATAAAAATAAATTTTAAGAAAAAAATGTCTTGTACCGTTGTCAAGTGTACGGAAACTTGTAGCTAATGTCATACAAAGAATGTTACAGATGTGTTGTCACCCATGAGGACTAAGATGGAATGCCTTAAAACTTTTTATTATACTGGCTCTCCATAGCGTTCAGACCGGAATGTAGTAACGCATCTGCTATTTGGCGGCAGTAACACAGACAGATTCCTATGCAGAAAACGGTTTCAACGTCCTCATTAATGGTAGGCATCTTAACCATCTGTTGAAGCCGAAAGATTTTGTAGCATTTTCTATAGTTTCCTCCTACGACATCCATGGTACGGACTGAGTGGTGGATTCTCATGTGGCACGACAAACGGTGACTGCGAAAAACTTATTTTACCTCAGTAGCAAATGCTAGCCTTTTTCTTTCTCCTCCAGATAGAGTGTTGCTACCCTCCAACCCTCCGATACGTGTATATCTGGATTCATATAATCCCAACTGCCTCATGAGCTGATTGACTCGTCTTCTGCGTGCAAGAGACGAAGTACGCCGATCCATTCGAAGACGGGCCTTGAAAATATAAATTATAAGAACGACATGCTGATATTTTACTATTTGTCTGATTTTGACTATTTTAATGATGGCAATACAGGGAACTGATCTAATAATAATTTTTTTTACATTTAAAATACTCAATAATAAAACGAAATGGTAAAAAATGTTAAATTATTATTTTTAGCCAACTCTCGACTATACGTTCTTTTGTGTGATCAGCGATCTTCATTCGAAAAATTCTATCGCTTAAGGATGGGGTAAAGTTAAAGTTAAAGTCTATATACGTCCCACTGTTGAACACAGGCCTCCTCTCATTTCTGAGAGGGTTTTATGGCAAGGAAATATCCACCACGCTGCCCCAATGCGTGTAGACAAGTATTGTCTTCGAAATATTTTTTCTATTCACTCACGATGTTTTTCTTCATCACCGAGCACGTGATAAATCTGGCCTTTTACTTTTTAATATTTTTTTTTAATTTTAAGTTCTTATTTAATTTTTCATTTTGGAATTATCTTATAAGCTATAAAAGATTTATTTTATACAAAATCAGAGCTTTTAAAATATATGAGAAAATATTTGCATATTCGTCGGTAAATTCGGCCACCCTAGAAATTATCTACTTAAATTTAATAGACTATAGCCCAAATACTTTTTTTATAGAATAAGGGTGACAAACGAGCACACAGTCCACCTGATGGTAAGTGGATGCTGTGGCCCATAGACATCTTTATTTAACCTCGCTTAAGAATCAAAATGCAGATGCGTTGTCACCCTTGAGGACTAAGATGGAATGCCTCGATTCCAGTAAAACGGGTCTCCGGTTCTCCACACTCACCACACGAAACACAGCCGTATTAAGATGCTATTTTACGCTGGTATTCTGTGAGAGCGTATGCAGCGAACAACTATAATATAGCTACAGCGTGGCTCTACCATGTATAATCCAACCTGCTGAAAATAATATTAAAGGCAGTATCTTACTGCAGCACGAATGTTCTCACATAATCCAAGCGAAAAATAACAGTATAAGTATTACTGCTGTATTATTAATAGTGAGTAGAGGACCGTAGACCCTTTTTACTGGTGACGAGGCATTGCGTCTCGGTCCTCAGAGCGATGACGTGTCATTCCTTTTTAATTTTTTAGTCAGTTGCAGGTTTATATGTCTTGTTTACTCTTCTTACCATCAGATAAACTTTGTAGTCATTTATCACTTCTTCTTCTAAAAAAAAGAAGATCTACGAAAGCTACTACTAGAAATCACTGTGCATCGCTACTACGCAGGATACAGTATAGTGCATTACAAACAGTAGAAGCACTCACTAGAATTCATACATCATTTTTCGTTTCATTATAATTCCTATTGTGGTTTTGTAAGTAATAACATAAGGTCGCAGTCAATTTCGAAGGCCCATTCATATTGTCTAGATCACAAAAAACAAAAACGAGTTTTTTCCTGTTATTTGGCCTTTTTATGGCTAGTTTTGATAAATTATTTAATTTTGTATTTAGTTTTCCTTACAGCCAACAAATACCAAAAATCTTTTATAAGACATAGTCATTAATTACGGCTAGCCGACTAGTTTTTCTAAAATGGCACGTGCCTAAAAGATATAAATTGCTGATAATAAAATTGATATATCGTATAGGACACCTGCAAACAAATTTAAATCGAGAAACCAAGTGTGTTCCGAAATCCTCTACATTGACTCACCATATCCTTCTAAACAGAACGAAAAATGTCTTTCCATCCATCCAGACGAACGCCAAGATTAAAAGTCTAATATAATAATTTTATTGCTATTGAGTTACCTTAGGAGAGATGCGATTAAGCTTCGAAATCTAGGTTGTATTTTCTTTTTATGTGCTAGTTACACTTCTGGGTCGGCTTGAACAGAGAACGGCCACGCTTTTTGGGCCACAGCGCCCACTTATCATCAAGTCGACTGTGTGCTAGTTTATCACCTTTATTTTATTTTAATGAAAGAGTACCATACCATAATAGAAAGGTGTTCGATGACTGTCAGATTTTCCACGAATAGTTCATCCTGGTGCATGTATCCGCTCTCTCTGTGCATGAAATCACCAACTGGTAGGCCATTCATTGCGATCTCACCGTCCGTTATAGTTCCCACTGTTAACGAAAGAATAAAAATTAGGTATTTGATGAGCTCCTCTACACGATGGGCCATCGCGATGGCCCACTATGATGGGCCAGCGTGTGAAGGGCGTAGTAGTGTCAGATTGCTTGGAATGGCGTCTGTGTCTGTTTTTCGGTTGTACATCAAAGGTATTGGGCCAGCGATGGGGATATGCATTTACACGTGGCCTATTCCACAGTTGGGTGTGCTGAGTTGTTGAATGTGCAAGTTCTTGTTTTGTTTGTTAATTTACGAATTTTCTTTAAAATGACATAATGAAGTAATAAAATTTTTAGAACTATATCAGGGTGAAAGCGTGATGTGGAATCCAAGACATAAACAACACTAAGATAAAAATGTGTGCGATGGACAGATAACATCCAGCATCTTCTTCTTCACCATTTCTTTTTTATAACTCTTGTGCACATTAAGAAAATAACGGTACGTGTCGTGTAGACATACTGCTGCAGCGGCTAACGCTTCCACGTCCATCTCGAAAAACGTTTCAATCACATTTCACATGACTGAATGACGCCATCGTTGCGTTTTCACCATCACATGGCAATTTCGCTGAGCCAGCGCTGGCCCATCATTTAGAGGAGGTATGACACTTATTTAATGTCCAAAGAACATTTTACTATCAGTTTGTTTTAGCTTCTATAAACAACTTCTTTAGAAATTGTATAAGAATATAATGTAATGACAGTTTTTAAAATCAAATATTCATTTATAAATTTATTAATACTAATATTCTAATTTATTGCAAAATAAGAAACAGATTCAGTTTAAAGACACTTAGGTATCAAAGTTACAAATCCAAATTATATAACGTATTTTTATTTATTTTATTAACAATAAACATTACCTACCACGAGTACATTTTTAAAGAAAGTAATGGAAAAGGAAGCGACGAGAGGGCACACAGTTCACGTGTAGATAAGTGGGAGGCTGCGATAACCCCAAAGGTATCTATCTCTTATCTTGTTTTATCATCAAAATACAGATATGTTGTTACTTCTGAGGACTAATATTGAATACCTTGTCACCAGTACTAGTGTCCTTTTTGTTATAATTTTACAACTAGGCTCTGACGAAAGACTAATGATGGAAAATTATCCCTAAGATGTTAAATCCAAATTTCTTAGACTGGTTTTATAGGGTAGCAGCATACCGAGTACGAATGTACTAGCGTGGTATGTATTAGGAAACCTGTTACATATTCACGATTTTTAGTGATGAAGCCTAAATTTGACAGAATGGAATTACTTAAAATAACCCATTTATGGACTGCAGTGAGAGTGTACTCCTTTCTCAATTGAGTCAACTACCAAGGAAGTTGATTAACTGCCGTTCGTGAGTGTAAACTGTGTGTGCGTGCTTGATTGCGTGCGGGCGTAATTGTGTGTACATGTAGGTATCTATAGGTAACGCCACGAGTCATGGAAGTGCGCAGAACCGAAAAATAGGTGTCGGCACGGTGAGGTGTGAGGTACGGGGAAGCGAAACCATAGCAACGGGCGACGCGCTAATCCCAAGTAGTTTCTTCCTGCGTCCCGTGTCCCGCGCACCTACTTGTGTCGTCTTGTGTACTATCGATATCGAAAGTTTTAGCGACTACCTGTTGTAAAATTTTAAATTTTTACGATTATTTTTGTACTTTTAAAAATATTGTTCTATAATATTTTCAAATAGTGTGCAAATATTTATTACTTTATAAATTATTTTGGACTATTTAAAATAGCGTAGTTCGTAGTATATTGTATAAAGTTGTAAATATTTTGTTATTTTCTACAAGATGGTTTTTTTGCAAATTATTGCATGTAAAATATCCTTATAATCGAAAAGGCTATCGCATAGTATAGTAAAAAAAAAAAAAAAAAAAAATTTTTTTTTTTAAAAGTGTACAATTCAGTATTATTTAGAAGCAGTTAAAACCTAACGATGATATATAAATATATCGTTCATTTTCGTGGAGACTTTGATGTATAGTTATAATGTTGACCTTTGACTTTTTTCATTTTTCTGCTTGATTGTACATGCGCAGTGGACTCTATTTAATTTCATCTTACGTGGTACCTATAAGCGACATATCGTGAATACCTTTTAAAATATTTAAAATATATGTATCATTTTATAAACGATCATTATAAAAATCGGAAAAGTCAAAATATTTACATAATATAAAGGTTTTTATAACATATTTTCAATAATTTGACTTGTAAATGCCTTTTGTACACGCGCAAATATTTTTTTCTCAAACCCAACTTTGTTGTTTAACTTGTTTTATGAATATATTAAATACATATATATATATATATATATATATATATATATATATATATATATATATATATATATATATATATATTTATAATTTATGGAAATTTTAAGTACCTTGGCTTACGTACTTGACGGTGTAGAAAACATTAGGTTCCTGCATTCATAAAGTACGCAACACGCATAGGTGGCGAACTTTTCGGAACTTCCTTGGTCTGAACCCTCCCAGATATGATAGGGGGGCATGCTGGTATGTACTCAGTAGAGGGTGTCTATGTATGTACTTTTTACTTTACTATTGTTAGCTATAGTCTGTTCGCTTAGATACGGTAGCCTTTTTATCGCGCCGCCGCGGCACGTGCCGCATCTTGAAGGAGCCGCCTCGAAATCAAATGTCGCCGCGTGTTTTTTTTATATAATAGGGTGACAAACGAGCACAGAGTCCACCTGATGGTAAGTGGTTGCTGCGGCCCGTAGACATCTACATCTATCCTCGATTACAAATCAAAATGCAGATGCGTTGTCACCCGTGAGGACTAAGATGGAATGCCTCGTTTCCAGTAAAAAGGGTCTCCGGTTCTCTACACTCACCATACGAAACACAGCAGCATTAAGCTACTATTTGACGCTGGTATTCTGTGAGAGCGTGGTCCTTCCCCGGTCGAGCCGACCCATTCGTGCTACAACTATACTTCTAATATAACTGCAGCATGGCTCTACCACGTATAGAATATAGATATACAACACGAACATAATTAACGCACTTTGAGAAAGTAGTTTGTTCAGAATCGTTTACTGAATCGATTCCTATCATTTTTAATAAAGGTAAATTTTTATCCCAAAATTAATTAAAACTAGGTAAATTACAGTCACACTAAATCTGTACAGTCAAAACAAACTGAACTGGACCGTAACTTAAGGCGATTAGCAGTAAGAAGGATGTTGTTGCACGATGGCCAGGTTCTACACGATTCAGCACTTTACCAAAACAGCAATACGTATAGAAAGTTTGAAAGAGGGGAGTATCGAAACCAGTGGCGAAGCTTCCATTAAAGCCGAAAAGCCGGGCTTACCTTATTATACCTGAATCAATCAATAATATCAAATACTAATAAAATAACTCGTAAAATGTTTCAAGCTATTTCAAATTTCCCGCGCACTCCACTGTTCGACACATGTCGACCGATGACCTCGTATTGCCTTAGCGATACTGCTGCTGTCATAAAAAAATGAGTTTTAATAGAGCTAATAGTTGTCTCCCTCGCTCGCGTGGGCTTTTTACGGGGCTTTCGAGAAGACGATCGCTCTCTTTCTAACCTATGGCAAAATATTCTATAATGAAATATAACTACGATTGTATATTATAGCAATTAGTACCTGTAGAGATTTAAAGCCAGGCTTTTGGGAATAAATTTGTTAAAAGCGGAGGCGCACGGGCATTACGTTTGCAAGATCATTTCACGTTTCAATGTTTATTTACTCTGTGTGCTTATCTTAAGCGATTTAATATTGCGAGTTCAAAATTTATGCTTTTTTAAAGATTTTTAATGAAAATGGAGTATAATAAGTGTTCCTTGTGATGAATTGAAGTGTGTTAAAGTGATAATCGGAGAGGAAATCTTTAAATTTTGTTGAGATAATACACAAGGTTAAGAGTGTATTTTAGACTTATCAATTATCGCAATTAAAAACAGTTATTGGTACAATTAAAACGTTCACCAACATTTTACGTGGACGTAATTAAATATTTCCATAAGAAAGCGAGACGATTCCACTTATCTCTTATCCATTAGAATGTAAATATTTTTTTTTAATTTTGTACATTGTTTGTTTGTACTTTGTTCGTGATTTACTTTTGTTCATGTATTGTATTGGATGTAAATATATTTTTTCTTTCGCTTAAACAAACCCAAACTGCTTTCTTCAAAGCCACCGAAGTTATGCAATTGCTGATATGTAATACAATCTATCTAGCAGTGGTATGCCTTCTGTGTGCTTTGTTAAACACGTCCTTGACAGCACTGAATATGAAACTGAAGCGTGGAGACAGATCAAGATTGGTGTATTTTTATAAAACATATAAAAACAACAATCTATATTTTTATCAATTTATATCTTGGGCTTGCCCTAGCTTGGAGCTCTAGCTTCGCCACTGATCGAAATAGGCATTTGCTTGGGGGTAGTGGCTATCCTGTGAAGGTAAAATAAAATATAACCAGAATAACAATCTATTTGCTGGCAAACTTACATGCAGGCATTCATCACAGAGCTCAAAATATTGATTAAATAAATACTAATTGTTTAATAGAATTGATCTGACCAATTGCAAAATTTTCAAAATATAGTCAATGTAGTACATGAATCATCCCCTTACATCTATTTTAATAAGTTTATAAGTATAGATAGGGTAGGTGAAATTAATAAAAAGATTATGCATAGGTAAAGAATATTTAATTGATTAAAAAGTTCACTTAAATTAGATATTTGCGGAACCATTATAAGGTATTCCAAATACATTTTGGAAGTTTAAGGTGTGACCTGAAATAGAAAATAAAAATTTTACATTACATAAATTACATTATTATAAACAATAATACTTAAAAACATTTTTATTTTCAGTCTCATCTCTTGACATGTTATCTCTATAATATATAACCCTACAACAAGAGTGGAGAACGAAAATATTATGAGGCCCACATTAGAACAAGAAATGTGGTGGAACGGCAATATGATGTGTTAAAACGAAGGTTTCCAGTACTTGCAGTTGGAATTCGTTTAGCTTTAAACAATGCCATTAATGTCATAATAACTTGCTGTACCTTACATAATATATATTAAGAAATGAGCAACAGTCTGTGAATAATGATGACATTCCAAACCTGGAAGAGCTAATTACAAGGGGACAAATCAATAATATGTCATTTTCTGACAGACCATCTTTGGCATATGGATTTCGTTGAAATCAAATTACACAATACTATTATTTATGATAATTTATAAATATATAATTTATTAAGTAAAATACATTTTTTAATTTCACCAATGAATAAAACACATACCTTTTAGTTTATTACATACTTTAGTTTTAATTTCCAGTTCCTTTCTAGCTGTTTCTAACTGCAGATGGTACAATTCTCGCTTAAATTTTATTTCTTCTTTTAACATTTTTATTTTTGAATCTTAAACTTTTGCCAGTTTAGTTCATCTAATACTTGTCACCCCTCAGTGTTGCTCTGTCTAACTCTCCATTGAACAACTGTTAGGAAAGGAAGTATCTCCTTAGTCTGTGATAAAATAATCTCACAAACATAATAATATATATAACTTGTATATAACATATTATATTACAATATGTAAGAGATAGCCTTATTTCTACTATAGCGGTTGGACTATTTGTCAGTCAGTTTCTACTTTTAATATACCTACATAATATTAGAGAATTCTATAAATATTTACATTTATATTTTGAAATATTAAAATTTCCATTGTCTCATTACCAAGTATTGGTAATGAACTTGGCTTCAGTACTTTGGTCAGCATCTAAATCCTGGACACCAGTTATGCCTGTACAAGCTCGGCCCATCAAGTCATTAAAGAATAGGATCTGTCTTAATGTATGATGAGCCACCTCCTGTGCCATTGTGACTGCTTTTGCTGAGTGCTTTGTATAATTTCGCTACAGTCTTCATTTTCTCCCAGACTCTTAAAAGAGATTCTTTACTTCTGAAATATAAGTGGTAGGTTATCAATAGGCAATTCAGGACAAACATAGTAGATAAAGAGGTTAATGTACTGAGAATGTTCATGAAATTCTTATTCAAGTAAGTAAATAGAAACTCTTTAATACACACATTACATTTATAAAATCGAGGTAATAATTATGATTTAACTATTTACAGCTATAAAGTTTGGATGTTAAAGCAACTTGACTTGAAAACAACTAGGTATAACAACAATTAAACAAAGGTTTATATTATTTATATAACTGTTTATCAATAACTTACCTAGCCGTAGTTCATGTGGAATTAAATCTTGTGCACAAATCACCCACGCTTCATTCTTCGCTTGGTTTATTATCACAGAACACTATTACTCCTATCGGAGTTTATTATGCCATCCGTCTTTTTATTTAGTATTACATTTTTAAAAATATCCATTAACTTTATCAGGTTATCCTCTTCATCAAACGCGAAATTTTGACAGCGCTTCCTTTTTTTCAGTCATACTTATAAATTAGAAAATTATAAACGGTTACCTATGTATTTTAAAGCAAATTAAAATTAACCAAACTAAAAACACCACGAAAACTTGCAGAGCCAAATGCCAAACAGTCACAATGCACTATCCTCTTAGTAGTCTGTGTCAACTGTCAATGCACACTGCACAGATAAAACAGAGTATCATGGGTATGTTCCGAAATACAACGCAGTGTACTGTCCAATGCAAATATCATGAATATATACTGTGTTAAACATTGAGTATTATTTTGATTGGAGTGTTAGTATTTTTTTTGGATTATCAATTATTTTATTTTTTTATATGTTGGTTTAAAATACCCAATACGTAGACTTGTCAAACGTAGACTAAAAATATGATATTTTAATTAAAATATCAACAAAATGAAAACATCTATCAGTCACAATATGAAAGAATCAATTTCTTCATTAGAATAATACATGAAAACGTATATTTTGTATAAATATAAATAATTTCCGACAAAACCGTTTACTACAACTGGGTATCAAGCAGTATCAAGGCACTGTCGTCATAATACATCTGTCACATAAGGAGGAGACCCCTAGCTACGGGTCTGTTGCGTTCGTGAAAGCAAATTTTACTTATGGGTTGGTTTAGGGGAACTTTTAGCTTAACGGTCGTCTAACTATGTGATTGTTTAGGGGATGTTGGTGAAATTGGGCATTAGACTTTTAAGAGTACAGTTTTATTTGTATTATTATAATTTTATTATATTACAATAATAAATATATTATATTATTATAATTATACTAATTCTGTCATTCAATAAAAATAAATAAAAATTACTTTATTTCAAGCATCTTAAAGTGTTTGCCTTCGTGGATTTGTAATGTGACCACAATATTCTCCCGGAATTAGTATAACTAATTTGATAAATAATCAGTGCATAAAAATGTTTAACTAAAAATTCAGTGCATGTATTATAATTATAACATAATAGTAGTCTGAGGGTGCGCGTTAATTACGTTACATATTGTATATATATGTGGCGTACACCCGCAGAAGAAATTGGCATTTTAAAACATAGCGCCGTAGTGAGAGGTCCTTGGCTACCTAGCTTGTGTTCATTACTTATATTCGTATATTATTACAATAACCATAAGAATAAAATAGAATACTATTAACAATAAATAGTATTCTTTTTTATTCTTAGAATAGAAAACTATTATTTAACAAAGACAACAAAAATAATAAATTAAAAGTAAAATAATAAGTACGGCTCCGAGTGTACCGACACTATTTTAGCAAACAGACTAGTGTGTAATTTTATTTAGCCAATGAAATTTCAGAGATTTATGTTTTAAATGTAATATATATAAAATGTGTATTATAATTAATATTAAATGTCACAATCTACTTTTAATATCATTAAAACAATGTTTTTAGGAACTACAACGAATTTTCTAATTTGAAGTAAATAGCATAATATAATATTAATAAAATAACTATGTATGTACATGTATAGTTGTATAGATATTATGTTCTTGGTTCTTAAAAATCTGATAATATAATTCTGATAAATAATACTGTACCTCATAGACACCCAATTTTATCCTCGTTTAAGAATCAAAATGCAGATGTTTTATTACCCTTGAGGACTGAGAATTAATGCCTTTTTACTAATAAAAAGGGTATAAAAAGGGGAGACCCTTTTTATTGGTCACTCGCCATTCAAAATACAGCATGACAGCAGTATTGTGTTCTTATTTTACGCAGATATTCTGGTGTGAGAAAGGTCCTCCACCGATCGTGTCGACTGATTTATGCTGTAGCGTGGCTCTACCAAAATATGTATACTCAACAAAGATGTACAAATTAGGTAGACGTTTCATTAAGGTGTACAATTTTGTCAAAAAATGTTCACTTACCTGGATTTCTATAGGCTAATGCAGACATGAGCGTAGTCTTTCCGGCACCGCTATAAAAGAAATTGAAATTTAATATTAAATTACCTGGTATTATCAGTATGGTAATAGAGTTAGTCTATCAGCGCATTTCATCCCATAATCATAAGAAGCGACTATGGAGAAGCCAAAAAGATCCCATAATTTTCAGGACCGATATGACTTCAAGAAAAGAGCCCATTCTTTTTTAAAAGACTGCAATTCCTCTGGTGTTGCAGGTGAGCCGCATGCCCGTTTGCTCTCTCTCATATATAAAATACTGGCCGTATGAGGACGCTCAAGGTCGCTCAGCGAGATATGGAGAGGGCTATGCTCGGAGTTTCACTGCGTGATAGACTCAGAAATGTCGATATCCGCAGTAAAACCAGAGTGACCGACATAGCCCAACGGATTAGTAAGCTGAAGTGGCAATGGGCCGGCCATATAGCTCGAAGAACCGATGACCGATGGGGAAGAAAGGTTCTCGAGTGGCAGCCTCGTACCGGTAGGCGTAGTGTAGGGCGACCCCCCACTAGATGGAGTGACGACCTGGTAAGACATCCAGGAAGTCGATGGATGCAGGTGGCTCAGGACCGTGCTTTGTGGCATTACTTGGGGGAGGCCTATGTTCAGCAGTGGACTTGTGAAGGGCTGTAATTATGATGATGATGATGATATATAAAAAATGGCTTTCGATAAATGGAATCATCTCGTAGAACTTAGTGATAAGATACTCTTTGCCATCCGCTATGCCAGACGTACAATTACCAGACGGGTAACGGGCATCAGCGTAAAGGTACGAAATATTTGGTACTGCGATTGTCTGCGTGAAAGGCAAATCCTTCCCAAAACGGGAGAGACTCATGTCTGGCAGTAGATTCGGAGAGTCTGACGATGATGATAACGATGATTAAGTTTACTGATCAAAGCTTTTTAAAAATGTGTTTATTTTCTTTCTTACTGTTGTTGTTCTGTTTAAATTATGTATAATTTTGAATAAGGCCTCAGAACACCAAATGTTACCTTGTTATGTTGTAATAATATATTTAACTAATCCATGGTCTGTTTATTGTCTATATAAACAAAAATGAAAGGAAAAAAATATACTTTGTTTATTCAAGGGTATACTTATATAAAATGTCCATTAACTAAAATGCCAGTTTAGAAAAACATTTGTACTTACAAAACTTTATGACTGTATCATAACGATATAATTACTATACTTTTTAAAAGAAAAAGCAAAACTCTCTACAAAAAAAGAACAAAATAATATTCATAATTTTCACGAAAACACATAGCGCTTCTGTAATCGGAGCTAAGACGGTGTAATTTTTGTAATGGTCGCCACATACGGTTAGTTCAACTGATCATTCCAACACTTATAATTAGCTTCTGAAGTCGGAGCTTTGTCTCGTATGGACGTGGCGTCCGTCAGTTCGGTCAGTTCAACTGATCATTCCAACTGATCAGTCCAAACTAAAACTGTTGATATTTTTTAAGATATTGGATTTACGATATATTGATAAATAAACTTATATGCAAAATTCCGATATTGATATATTTATAATTATCAATATAATGAAAATTCAATATTTAAAAAAATATTAACAGTTTTAGTTTGGACTGATCAGTTGGAATGATCAGTTGAACTGACCGAACTGACGGACGCCACGTCCATACGAGACAAAGCTCCGACTTCAGAAGCTAATTATAAGTGTTTTTTTGAACTGAGCAACTAAAATATCACCTATTTTTCCATTTTTAGGGGTGATTTTTTTCTTTAAATTTATATGAAATTTATTTCGAATATTATCGTTTCCATAATGTTGTTAATAGAAATGGTGAAAGGTGATTCCCGGTATTTGAAAAACATTTATTACACATATTAAACCTTATTTAATTATTAGCATCGTTATTTCCATAACACATTCGGGCTGCGAAAATAGAAAATATTAATGGTCTATTGCTGCTGCGGTGTGGCGAACCCGCTAAGTAATCAAAACCTACCACTGAAAAATAATAACGGAATTATCGGAAAAACCGGGGCTTTTTTTAAAGAATCGTGTAAGACTGTACTGTATAGCTCACTGTGTGTTTTTTTATATTTGTTTTTTTTTTGTTTTCCGGATGGCAGTATGACTGGAAGAGTTTTAATAATTTAAGAATTTTCCAAAGTTTTGAAATAATTAATTACTTAATATGAAAAACAAAACAAAACATGGCATTGGTTATATACCACGTTTGTAATTACTCTAAATTACATACATATAGATAAAATATGTGCTTTAGTGTCATTATCGTTACAGGCTATCAAAGTCCACTGCTGAATATAGGCTTCCCCCATAGCAAAGGGGGGATGTATGCAGTTTGGCAAGCCGCACTTTTTATTGTAGTTTTGCTGTTACTTAAAGGTTGTCTGGAAGAGATCGTTCTTATCGATAGAACCGCTCATTGTACCACATTTATTTTTTCTCCTTTTTTGTTTATATTTTTGTGTTTTTTTTTTTTTGACGTACAATGTAGTGCTGTATATGTAGGTATCTATTTTCTCATTTCCTGTTTTAGTTTCCCTCTGACGCCTCATAAAACACCCACGGGAAGATATGGGATAGTGGATACTCTTACACCGCCAGTGTACCGTACACCGTCACACTACGGCACGATACCATAGGGCATTAGCAAAAAGTAAAATGAAGGAATACGTCTATATGGGATAAACAACGCCATTCAGGACTGGGCAGATTTAGTAAACCAAGAGAGTTGTTAGTTTTCAAAATAAATAATTTATGGAATAAACAAAAGATAGAAACATAGCCGTTGTACATTCTGTTTTGAGATTATATGGTAAAAAATATTGGTTTTTGTGTCATTATCTATAGAAAAGTAGATGAATAAATTTGAGTGACGCTAATTACCGCCCGGATGTCCTCGAGCATGACAAGCGAGTTGGAGAGACTAGTCCGACGCATTATATCGAAATAACATATTCCTGCTATATACATGACATATAATATCCTTGAACCCTAAATGTCAAAACACTTTCAAAAATATTATTTTCCAGAACTTGCTTGATGACCTTCAATAGGCAATGAAAAAATCTAATTCCAACCACACTGACCCAAGCTAAAATAGGTAAAAAACTTTTTTGACGACAATTTATAATCGTATCTAAGCACGCGTAAACCTAAGGCGGGGGCACCCAACAAGTCGATTGCGATTGACCGGTAAATCTATAAATCAATTTTGGTCGATCGCTCGCGATGACTTAAATTGTACACTAATTAGACTACATGCTAAAATAGTGTAATTAAAGACCGTATTTAGAGCGGAAATAAAGTGTATAGACATAGAAAGTTACAGTCTATATACGTCCCATTGCTGAGCACAGGCCTCCTCTCATTTCTGAGATGGTTTTAGGGCAAGAAAATGTCCGCCGCGCTGCCCCAATGCGTGTTAGCGAACTTCACATGTCTTCGAAATATTTTATTTTTATTTCTCAGACATGCAGGTTTCCTCACGATGTTTTCCTTCACCGCCAAGTACGTGGTAAATCAGCACTTAAAATTGCAACTAACAATTTCATTGGTGCCGGCGGGGATCGAACCCGGGTTACTCGCGTGTATAGACATAGTAACAATATGTAATTTCACATCCTCTTTTAACACTTAAACTACGCTATGGCAACAAGTACATCGCAACACATAAAGTATATCCTATGTGCACAAATGTTGACTACCTCTGTTAATGGCTGCACGACGAAAGGGTCTGCTTGACTGACGCTCTCAAAGAAAACCAGCGTGAAAAGCAAATAATACTGCTGTGTTTCGTATGGTGAGTGTGAAGAACTGGAGACCCTTATTACTGGTAACGTGGCATTAGTTGTTTGTCCTCAGGGGTAACAACGCGTTTGCATTTCGATTCTGGATTGGGGATAGATGTAGATATCTATAGTCCACAGTTTCGTGCTCGTTTGTCATTAATTCTATAGAAAATACTATTATCCCACCTGATTGATAGAGGCACGCTGTGGCTAAATTATGGATATAGTATGAATGGGTCGGCTGGACCGAGGAAGGACCACGCTCTCACAGAAAACCAGCGTAAAATAACAGCTTAACACTGCTGTGTTTCGTATGGTCAATGTATAGATCCGGAGACCCTTTTTTTATTGGAAACGAGGAATACCTTCTTAGTCCTCAGGGGTGATGACGCATCTGCGTTTTGATTCTTAATCGAGGATAAATATAGATGTCTATGGGCCACAGCATCCACTTACCATCAGGTGGACTGTGTGCTCGTTTGTCAGCCTTATTCTATGAAAAAAAAGGATAGTAAGTCGTGATGTAGCCGAAAATGCTGAAACGCACTGATTAAAGTTTACAAAAGCCTATTTACTTATTTCTTGAAAACACCCACATCGGATGGAAAGACAGATTCTGGCAAATTGTTCCACTCCTTTGTTGTACGCATGAATAACAACTTTTGGTTCGAATGTGTGTAGCATATTGACGCAATAAGTGGGGAGCTAGTCGAGAATTACGTTATAGCGCCTGATTGACAGGCTGACGCGTGCTACATGCATAATAGAATGCACTCCATTTGTATTACTATAGTAGATACACGGCGTGACACAGTGGTGACGTAGTTTCAATGGTGTAGGGTCCGCGGTGCGAAGGTGTTGCGCGCGAATTTCTTGCTACATATTTTGTTACCATCACGCTAATTAAAAACATATTGTTCCTTGAGTGGGTATATTGTTTAAATAAATAAAAACTTACTTTCGTCTTTAGGTAGTTTTTAGGCGTTGCCGTAGTATGGGAAATTTATAGGCGTACATTGGGGGGACTAACTATAAATTTTGGGTAAGCCTGCTGGCTATGGTTTACGCCTGTGCTCGAGACTGGTCGTGTGATAATTTTATAATCGAAATGCGTGTCTAAATCATGGAAGTGTGTAAAGTTCCTGGGTTTTTATAAATTACTACGAAAACTCGTTTTCCTCTTAATCCTTATTTTATGTTTTGTTTGTAATGTCA